CCATAGAATATTTGTTAAAAATGTAACTCACTGTAGAATATTTGTTAAAAATGTAACTCACTGTAGAATATTTGTTTAAAATGTGACTCACCATAGAATATTTGTTTAAAATGTGACTCACTGTAGAATGTTTGTTCAAAATGTAACTCACTGTAGAATATTTGTTAAAAAATATAACTCACTGTAGAATATTTGTTAAAAATGTGACTCACCGTAGAATATTTGTTAAAAATGTGACTCACCGTAGAATATTTGTTAAAAATGTGACTCACCGTAGAATATTTGTTAAAAATGTAACTCACTGTAGAATATTTGTTTAAAATGTGACTCACCATAGAATATTTGTTAAAAATGTGACTCACCATAGAATATTTGTTAAAAATGTGACTCACCGTAGAATATTTGTCATCATAGATTTACCACTCTTTTTTTTTGTATAAAAACATATTCCAACCAATGATTTTCTAACTCCTCACCTTCCCGTGTTTTAATAAGGATTCTGGGAAGTATCATAAAGCACTGCTCTAAGCACATGCTTATCAAGGGATGTTAATCTCGGGACAGGAGAAAAATATGTACATATAACATTTTCAATCTTTTTATGACTAGATAATTTTCCAAGATAAGTATTTGAATTAGCTAGCTAGGTGTTTACTTGCCAATTCAGTCATGGGTTACTTGTCATCTTGCATCTTTGTTCCCATGGTGTCAGTTTGTTAACTTTGACCCTCTTGTGTTGCGTCAAGGTCTATTCATAGCCTCAAAAATTGCAAAAACTTTAGCCATAAACATAAAAAAGTGTAAATAACATGTAAGGCAAACTTGTAATAACTTTGTTTTAAGGTATATTTATTTGACTTTTGGCAGTACATTTTAAAATAATAATTAGACAACAATTTAAGTTTCTCAAGCAGTTTACAGACATTCTGACAATTTGTAGGGTTAACTTGGATCACTTGTAGATTAACCTTGATTAACTAATATGTATATTTTTAATAAAACATCAGACCTTTATTACATGAAATTATGTTTGTATATGTGTAAGTTGTCTTTATTTAACAAGTACAGGAATAGAATTAATGAAATAAAATTACATTTTCTCAAGGAAAAGCTATCAGGAAGATTACATTCCTTCATGTAAAGTTCTTCATGAATTTTGTTTCATATTTAATCCATATAATATGTTCACTTTCATTGGTCATAACCAAAGGAATATGGATGGACCACGCATTTCCGATTGGGAAAGCCAACTAAACAGATGAAATTCTTCAAGTTAAGCTCTTTAGGAATGCAGAAATATAATATTTCGATCCCTGAAGTATGTTGTATAAAGCTAGTAGAATTTTGTCTTGTGTAAGTTTAAGTGATAAACCCTGTTCTTTCCTAAAGATCAAAGTTTGTTGCTAACATTACTGTTTCTTCCTAAGCCATATTTCAACTTATTACATGCAGCTGATAAGGAACAGACAACTTATAAGCAATTGTTGATTAACCCTACATGCGTAGGGTTGTTCAATTGGACCAAACCCATACAGCAGAATGAATATTTACTATATATATTCTGTAATTCTGACTTTACTTAATGTATCTTCAGAAAACTTCATAAGCTTTTAGTAAACATTACAAGTGTGTAGTACACAAAAGAATCTGAATTTTTAATAAAGTATTTCTTTTAAGAATTTGCCTCTGAATTTACTTTAGTCAGTCTGACTCAGACTCTGACTAGTCATAAGTGCAAGGTGATTTTCATGTTAAGAATAAAAATAGTTTTTTAGTCTTACAGTTTTAATATTTCTTTTACATAACCTCTATAATCTTCTAAATGAATATCAAAAGTTTTTTTTCTATAACATTTTATATTCTATTTATTTTCTCTACCCTAACACTGTGGTCTAGGTCTATTTGACTGACGTTGTAACCACCACAAAAAAGTACAAAGTGAATATAAATTTTCCATGTTTTTTTCTAGAATTACTGCAGATTATAAGATAAATTTAGTTATTTATCTTATACAACCTCAGACTCTAAAAGATAAAATCTGTATTTATTTAATTTTAATGTTATGTTACTTTTTGAACAATGTCTAACTACTTAAATAGCAATAGATAACCCAGCAGGAATTTGGGGAGTTTAAGAGAAAACAAAATTTCAGGTTATGTCATGCAATGTCTATGTATGTTCCTCGTGCATTTCTTGGAGCAAAGTAAATTTTTTTTATTTTTCATTCAAGTTTTTTCAAGCTAACCTAATAAGTTCTTAATGTTTACTTCTTAGTTGCTTTTGTTAAGGAAAATATATCAATAAATAAAAGATGTACATACAAAATAAGAAATTTAGCACTTACTTCAGGATTGTTCTTGGAAGCTGATCTTCATTAACCCTAAATTTTTCTCACTCAGTCGGTTGTTCAAATGATAAAACAGAATGTCTCCAAACTACTATCTGGCTTTCTAAGCGACCAAAAAAAAGGTTTAAAAACATTTGTTACTTACTGGAGCACTGACTTCAATCTTTGCTTCATAAAAAGTTTTAAAAACATACTTTACTTACTGGAACACCGACTTTAATCTTCGCTTAATAAAAAGGTTTAAAAACATTTGTTACTTACTGGAGCACTGATTTCTATCTTCGCTTAATAAAATCTGCTTGGGAAGTAGCACATTTTACCAGAATAAATCAATATAATCATGTAGTTCATATAAACATGTATCACTGATAAGTAAGCATGAGAAATTACTGTCTACCGATCACGTTACAATCGGATTGCCAATAATTATAGCTCACAATCTGCCATATTCCAATTATGTACAGTGAAGTTGATGATGTCATTGTGTAGTATTGTTGACAGTTAAACTTTAACAATTGTAATGACTATAGGGTCGTGATTTGTAAGCATATTTACAAATCAGACAATTGTTGTTATGAATAAAGTGGTCTTGGTGGTGGTATTTTTAATTTCTTGGCAGTCGGTTTTCCATTATTGGGAAATTCTACAAATTTCTCCCAATTATTCAATAAACAATCCGATTCCGATTGCCAAACCAATTATCGGTAAAACACTATGAGAAATAAGTGATTTCAAAAGCATGAAGAATTGTGGGGAGCTTCTGTGGTGGGTGTAACAAATTTATTGATATCTCAAGAAATAGAGAAGGTGGGAGGTTCTTATTTTAATTTTCTGTCAATATCTATAGTTGATAGACATTCTGAAACCCATATAAAGGAAGAAAGAAAATTGAAAATGAATTCAGTGAAGAGAGGCATCACCTGATACAAGAACGTGAAGATTGAGAATTTGTTTCCTTTTTAATTCAGAAATCAAAACATATGTGATATAAAAATGTGAATTATAAATTACATTTTGATACAAAGTTTATTGACATATATTAATAATAATGTTGTTAAATTAAATTTAGAATGTAACTATAAAAATCATGACATGCACTCTAACTCCTGCCTCTATTTTTCTATACAACTAGGGCTGCTTGTCAAACTCAGCCAAGAGACCGTCCACCCCAGTCAGCGGTTCAGATATTGCTCTGAATACAACACCGTTCCCATGGACAGATTCTGTGAACACAGGAACTGCTGCCTTTACCTCGACTCCAGCTATTAACCTTGTTAGTGCTCCTGGTTTTGTACATGATGAATCATCTATTGTAGCAGAACAATCCCATAATCCCCCTCTTTTGAAAAGTTTATTAGGTATGGTTACCATGTTGTTTATGTTTGATGTAACTCAAGCTACTTAAGATTATGTAATTTGTGGTGTTTTTCTTGAATAGTGAACTTAAATATACCTATCGTATGACATGTATGCTTGCATAAAACGTAGTGTTTACTTTTATTTAGCACAAATTACATTTTTATTGGGAACAAAGAAGCAAAAAAATGAATAGACATATTAATAATAGTTAAGAAATGAATCATTAAAAATGTAATAAACTGACTTAAATGTGATGATGTTAAGTTAGATATAAATCTGTGAAGATAAAAATGATCATATGCAATTTTTTCCACCCCTAAGAAGTCCATCTGTTATTCTATGACAGTGTATTACTGATTAATCAAGCTGTTGCTGTTTGTCAAATACAACAATTACAAAATGATGATTGTCAGTGTTTGTCAAATCCAACAATTACAAAATGGTGATTGTTCTGTTTCTCAAATTGAACAGTTAAAAAATTATAATTGTCATTGTTTGTCAAATACAACAAATAAAAAATGATGATTGTCACTGTTAGTCAAATATAACAATTAAAAAACAATACATGTTTCTGTTTCTCAAGTACAACAATTAAAAAATGATCATTGTTGCTGTGTGGAATACAACAATTAAAAAATTATAGTTGTCACTGTGTTTCAAATACTACAATTAAAGAATGATCATTGTCACTGTTTGTGAAGTACAACAATTAAAGGGCCTGGCATGGCCAGGTGGTTAGGACGCTCGACTCGCAATCTGCGGGTCGCGAGTTCGCATCCCTGTCCCACCAAACATGCTCGCCCTTTCAGCCGTGGGGGCATTATAATGTGACGGTCAATCCCACTATTCGTTGGTAAAAGAGTAGCCCAAGAGTTGGCGGTGGGTGGTGATGAATAGCTGCCTTCCCTCTAGTCTTACACTGCTAAATTAGGGACGGCTGGCGCAGATAGCCCTCGTGTAGCTTTGCGCGAATTTCAAAAACAAACAAACAATACAACAATTAAAAAATGATAATTGTCACTGTTTGTCAAATACAACAATTAAAAAATGATATTTGTCACTGTTTGTCAAGTACAACAAAAACTGATGATTGTCACTGTTTGTCCAATAGAGGATAACTTAGTATATTTGTTTTGGGTATATGAAAATATTTTTGTAATTCATCCCCATTTTTCATTACAAACTTTATTTACTCTCTTATTATCTTAAAACCTGACCATGGACTCAGATCATTTATTACATTACCTTGTGTTAATTATTTAATTTGTTATATTTTCACGATAAATTACACTTCGAAATGACTTCAAAGAACCAGTACAGCATTTGATAGTATGTATGGAGTCTTGTTAGGGTGTGTGGTCAGAAACAGGTATTGTTGGAAATTATAAAAATTCCAAGTGAAGATCTCCACAATTTTTATTTTATTTGATAGTTTTTGTATAAATTACCCTCTGGTTAATCTTGCTCTATGTGCTTTAGTCAGAAGCTACTGATCCTTGTGACAAAGATTAACTGTGTGAGTTTGCTATTAGTATCCTTCACCACCCAAGGAACTATGGGGTAACACAAATGTTAAGAGTTACTAATGTTATTCTATGTTTGTGTGGTATATTGTTATGTACATAACAGTTACTAATGTTATTCTATGTTCATGTAGTATATTCTTATGTACATAACAGTTACTAATGTTATTCTGTGTTCATGTGGTATATTCTTATGTACATAACACTTACAAATGTTATTCTGTGTTGGTGTGGTATATTCTTATGTACATAAGTTACTAAGATTATTCTGTATTCATGTGGTATATTCTTATGTACATAACAGTTGCTAATGTTATTCTGTGTTAATGTGGTATATTCTTATGTACATAGATTTCTGCAGGAAATGGGCACATTTAACTGTTTTAGTGTTCAGTTTCTAACAGATGGAGGGTATCTCTAGTTGTTGTTGGTTTCAAGACTTAGCATATTTCAGTTTTAGAAATTAAATAAAACTTGAGTATGAAGAAAATATGTATTTTATTTAATAGTTTTTGGTACAAAATCAGAGACGAAACCAAGTAATCACTGATTCTTACTAGCACCGCCACCACCACCATCAAGTGTCCGACCCAAACTCAAGGGGCATACGAAAAGTGTAAATAGTACTCAGGCAGTGCTAGGTCCTGTTGCTGTTTTATCAGATTCACCTGGTGGAAGTACAGGAACAAAGGTAAGTTGTCTTATATATCTAAAATTGAAACATCCAGGTGATATGTTGATATTTGTTAATCACTTATTATTAATACATTAATACAAGTTTTGCACAAATGTAATTTTAAAGTATGAAACATTAAAATTTCAGTTTTTGTTTAAGATGTCCATCCATTTATATTGTAATCTTTAAAGTCCCAGTTCAGTTTGATAATCAAGCATCATTATTGTGGTCAAGAACCTTTTAAAGTCCCAGTTCAGTGTGATAATCAAACAATATTATTTTGGTCAAGAACCTTTTAAAGTTCCAGTTCAGTTTGATAATCAAGCATCATTATTCTGGTCAAGAACCTTTAAAGTCTCAGTTCAATTTGATAATCAAGCATCATTATTGTGGTCAAGAACCTTTTAAAGTTCCAGTTCAGTTTCGATAATCAAGCAACATTATTGTGGTCAAGAACCTTTAAAGTCCTAGTTCAGTTTGATAACCAAGCAACATTATTCTGGTCAAGAACCTTTAAAGTCCCAGTTCAGTTTGATAATCAAGCAGTATTATTGTGGTCAAGAACCTTTAAAGTCCTAGTTCAGTTTGATAATCAAGCAACATTATTCTGGTCAAGAATCTTTAAATTTAAATTTCAAGTGAAGTTTAAAGTAATAGATAAATTTATGAATGAATAAAGATTTATCATAGTTAATTTCTATAATTTTATAAATTCTATAAATGAAGTGAACTCACCGATATGGGGAAAGGTTTATGAAAGCTGAAATTGATACCTTTAGCTCATTTAGTGTTCAATTTCTGACAGATATCTGATTGTCATATAACCAGATGTTTTTTTTATTCTATTCAGTACAAAAACTTTTTTCTGTGATTCTATTGTGAAAAAGTAATTATAGAACATCATAGTTCAGTGCCATACTGAGTAAAAAGTTGTGGTTTTTCATTCACAATACTTGAATGGTTAAAATAAACACAATAACAATATCTAATGTAATCATTCCTAATAAAATGATGTTCTGCTGTTTCTGTCTTCATTTGTGTCTGATAAAAAAAATAATAATTACGTTTATTAACTGATACTTCACTGGAGAATTTTATTATGATATATCCTGTAGAGCCAAGACTTTTCACAATCTCACACATACAAAAGTACACTAAACCTGAGCTAATCTAGGCTTAATTCATAAACACTTGTGACATTCATCCGTTATGATAATTTCCTAACTAAATTTATTATTATATTGGGCAAGTTCTTTTGCAAAGATTAGTCCACATAATGACTTCAAAATTGTGTCTAGCCAAAAATGGAAAAAAAAACTGCTCTTTATTTGAATTGTGAAGTAGCTTGAACAGTCTTGTTACACAATGAAATCAATAATGCATTATACTTAAAACATACATTAAATCATCAGTTGTGAGAAGTAAATAGCACAATCAAATTTTGATCAATGAACCAAAATCTTCTTTCTCTACTTGTTTACTCTCATTAAAACTGTGTCCAGTCACTGAATTCTTTGGGAGTTACTTCCATGGCTCATGGTACAGAAATTATATGATCTCTTGTCCTTCTTGCTGTCTTGTCATAGGAATTCTCTTCAAGGTTTTAGTTGAGGGAACCACTGTTGGATTCATTTGTCTCAATTGGAACCTTGATCATGAGGAATGGCCTTTGGCTTTCACCAAATAATCCCACTTCTTACACCATTTTTGAAACGGTTTCTGTTGTTGAGCAGATTTTTTTATTATTTGTTAAAAAGAATGTGAAATTCATTCTATATAATAATAAAAGCATGTTATTTCTTTGACTAGTACATTTAATGCTAATAAAACAGTTTCACTTACTTGATAATTTTGTCTTGTACATATGGCCCTTCCTAAAATCTTTTTTACTTCATTGAAAAACAAGCTCAGTAATCACAAACTGAACTAACAAGTAAACTGATTGTAAAATTCACTAACTCAGTAATGAGTCCACCATTTATCAAACTCTTTTACCTAATTCCTTTTTTTATACCTTTCTAATAATTTCTTAAATTTCCATGTGCTCATCACCTGATGTTATCACCCCCATCTAGCCAAAAAAAATACAAACATCTGAATTTTAAATATAGCTACAACAGTAATATTTAATGATACTTTGGTGGTGTTATTGTAAATTTGTACAGAATTCTATATTTGTGTTTTAGACAGACCAAATGAAATACATGGAATAAATAAGTTAATAATGAATTATGCAACATAATTGGAAGCATAAGAAAAACATCTTGTTGCATAGTGTTATGCATAACACGAGTTAATGAGTCATTCTTATTAAAGTTTGTTTTTTAAGATAATGTTTCTCTGTGTTTTTTCTTTTTAGGTAATTGGAAAACTTCTTTGTAATAATGTATTTTAGTCACAATAAAATCACAAATTTTTAAGTTTTTCCCTTTACAAAACAAAATATATAAATGCACCTGAATGAGGATAAAAATGAAACTTCACAAATAAATCTAATTTCTGCCTTTCTTTGTTTTATTTCCAAACCACCTTTATACATATGTACTTAACCAACTAATATATACATTCTATGGTTTTTAGTCCATTAAATGGTTTTTTGAAACAAGTTTTATGATTTCATTAAAATCTAGATGTTTTTTATTTCATTTTCTTGTGTAGGATGACAACGTAAGAAGAAAAGACTTGGAACTTGTTTACTGTCGCTACTTACAAGCTAAGTACTTGGAAATAATGGCAGAAAAGGCCATTAATGAACGTTCAGAAAAAGCTATGGTAAGTCAAGTCAAAAAAAAACAAGGTACTTGTGAATTACAGTACAGAAACAATGACATTAAAAATGTATAATTCCCAGTACAATGAAAATATTGGTTTAATTGTATAGTTGTAATTATGTAGAACATAAAACAAAGTGACTGAAATAGTAGATGTTAAACTGAAACAAGGTTGTGAAGCAAAATTAAATGTGTTGTGGTTTTTTAAGCTAAACAGAAACATTCCTATAAGATTTTCTTGATTTCATTTTTAAAAAAATGCGCTAATTAATTTTTTGTAGAAAATAAAACATAATATATTAATGAAATAAAAACTTAGACCTTAAAAGGACCAGTTTTAGATTTTTTTTTAAGTGATAGTAGGTGTATAGTACAAACAAAATGAAGGGTTAGCTATGGGATCACCACTGTCACCATTATTATATGATTTATATATGGATGTGTTTAAAACTAAAGCCATGAATAAGGCAAAATGTAAACCTGATATTTGGATAAGGTATGTAGATGACACATTCTTGGTGTGGAAATATGGTAATAAGGCATTAACAGAGTTTGCTTACTATTTGAACAGCATTGAACCATCCATACAATTTATGTTTGAAATTGAGAAAAATAATAATTTGCCTTTTCTAGATGTATTGGTGAAAAGGAATGTACATGGTAATTTAGAAACATCATTTTACCGGAAACCCTTTTCTGTTCTTATGCCCCCACACCAAGAATCATGTCATACTAAGTCACAAAAAATGTCTGCGTTTTATAGTTATGTTAAAAGAGCTATGAAGATATCTACTAACCAAAATGATTTAAAAAACGAATTGTTATTAATTAAATATATAGCAGTCGAAAGAGGTTTTTAACCCAGATCTTATAGATAGGGCAATTAAGAAATTCACTAATACTATAATAATTGATCAAGATAGTACTTTAAAACCTAGTTATGAAAAAATTAGAAAGGAAGGCTTAACCTACCATATGTTCCAGGTTTAACTACTAGCTTATTTAAAGTGTTCAATAAATCAACAGATATTTTACCCAATATTTAAACCGATAAATAAGATGAATCAAATCTTAGGTACTACAAAAGACGAAATACATTTAACTGAAAAAACTGGAATATATAAAATAGAATGTGAATGTGGAAGTATTTACATTGGTCAGACACAACGTAATTTAAAATACCGCTTAAATGAGCATAAGGGATATGTAAAAAATAAAAAAACTGAAAATTCATCCATAGAAGAACATGTACAGAAAACACAACACACAATATTATGGTAAAAAACTGTAATATTAGCTCAACCTAAAAGTATAATAGGTAATAATATTCGTGAATCGTTAGAAATAATAAAACATAAACAAGATCATGTAGTATTAAATAGAGATGAAGGTATGGCGAATATTTCTGCAAGAATGTGGATTGATCTCCTTTGAATGGTTTAGCGTGAATGTATGAAAAATAACATACAGGTCAATGACCTACTAACAAGTTATAAATACTTTGGCAATTGTCTTGTAATTCACTCCTGAAGATGAAATTGTAACATCGAAACATGTAGAGTTGTCAACTTTTTGAAGGCCATAGATAGGCCTAAATAAAATGTTTTTAATTGTGTACCAGTTTAACGTTGAAAATTATTTATGATTTTAACTTTATACACAAGTGCCAAAATACTATAATTATCGGTGTATTTGTAGTTGGAATGGTTGTAGCTCTAATTCTGTTGTGTTAAATAGAAAAACACTTTACAGGGTACATAAGCCCACTAGTTCTACTAATCAGTACTTGCAGGGTACATAAACCCACTAGTTCTACTAGTCAGTACTTGCAGGGTACATAAACCCACTAGTTCTACTAATCAGTACTTGCAGGGTACACAAACCCACTAGTATTACTAGTCAGTACTTACAGGGTACATAAACTCACTAGTAATACTAGTCAGTACTTACAGGGTACATAAACCCACTAGTATTACTAGTCAGTACTTACAGGGTACATAAACCCACTAGTACTAATAGTCAGTACTGACAAGGTACATAAACTCACTAGTACTACTAGTCAGTACTTACAGGGTACATAGACCCACTAGTGCTACTAGTCAGTACTTACAGGGTACATAAACCCACTGGTTCTACTAGTCAGTACTTACAGGGTACATAAACCCACTAGTTCTACTAGTCAGTACTTACAGGGTACATAAACCCACTAGTGTTACTAGTCAGTACTTGCAGGCCACATAAACCCCCTAGTTCTACTAGTCAGTAATTAAAGAGTACATAAAACCACTAGTGTATCTAGTCTGTACTTACAGGGTACATAAACCCACTAGTGTTACTTGTCAGTACTTACAGGGTACATAAACCCACTAGTTCTACTAGTCAGTACTTACAGGGTACATAAACCCACTAGTTCTACTAGTCAGTACTTATAGGATATATAAAACCACTAGTGTATCTAGT